ATGTGAGGGGCCTGGGGTATATGGGGACTCTGTACTTTCTGTATAATTTTTCTGTGAACCTAAAACCGCTCTAAAAATTAAAGTCTGTTTGTTTTTTAAACCACACAAAGAGATACACTCAAAAACACTATAAATAAATCAAAATGGAATTCTAAAAAAAGTTCAAGTGACCACAAGAAGACAGAAAAAGGAGATACGAGAAACTGAACAAAAAGAAAACCAAAATAAAATAAGAGATTTAAGGCCTAACTTATTGGGCCTAACAAATAACTACATTAAATGCAAATGGTCTAAATACACCAATTGTACAACAGACATTGGCAGAGTGTATTAAAAATACAATCCATCTATATGCTGCCATAAGAACTCCCTCGAAAATAAGACAAGAGGTAGGTTGAAAGTAAAAGGATAGGGAAATATACACCATGCAAACTTGAATCCCCCCAAAACAGGAGTGACTATATTAATATCAGGTAAAGTAGACTTCAGAACAAAGAAAATTACCAAAGATAGAGAGGGACACTATGTAGTGACATAAGGGTCAATCCATCCAGAACACAACAACCCTAAGTGTATATGCACCAAATAACAGAGCTGTAAAACATGTGAAGCAGAAAGTGACAGAATTGAAAGAAAAGACAAACCGCAATTATATTTGGAGATTCCAACAATTCCAACACCTCCTTTCAACAACGGGTAGAACAACTAGACAAAAATCAGCAAAGATATAGAAGAAAAGCACACCACAAAACAGTAGGATCTAACTGACAGTTATAGAACACTTCTCCTAATAACAGAAATCACATTCTTTTCAAGTGCTAACAAAACATATACCAAGATAGGCCATAAAACAAACCTTAATTAATTTAAAAAAAGTGAAATCATATGAAATGTGTTCTCCAACCACAATGGAGTAAACTAGAAACTAATAACTGAAAGACAAAAAATTGCCAAACAATTGTAAATTAAACAACATACTTCCTGATATTCTATGGGTCAAGAGGAAATCTCAAGGGAAATTAAAAAAATACATTATGACTGAATGAAAAATGAAAATACACATATCAAAATAAAGCAGTGCCAAGAGGGAAATTTATATTAATAGCACTAAACGTACAAAATGAAAATGGGAAAAAGTCTCAAATCAGTAATCTAAACTTCCACTTCAAGTACTCAGAGAAAGAAGAGCAAAACAAACCCAAAGGAAATAGACAGAAAGAAATAAGTACAAGGACGAACATCAATGAAGCTGAAAATGGAAAAATGTAGAAATCAATGAAACACAGAGATGGTTCTTTGAAAACACGAATAAAATTGGCAAACTTCTAGTACTACTAACAGGAATAAAACAGGGGCTATACCACAAACCCTGCACAGGTCAAAGGACAATAACAGAATTATTATTAGAGTCACTAACAACTCCGCATGCATAAATTCGACAACTTAAAGAAATAGACGAATTCCTCAAAAATACAAACTATCATAACTCACCCAATATGAAACAGATAATTGGAATAGCCTTATAATGATTAAGGAAACTGAATTTGTAACTTAATAACTCCCCAAAAAGAAATAGCCAGGCCCAGATGGTTTCACTGGAAAATTCTAACAAATGCTTAAAAAATGAATACCTATTCTACAAAATCTCTCCCAGAAAACAAAAGAGGGAACATTTTCCAACCCATGTTATGAAGCCAGAATTACCCTACTACCAAAACCAGAAAAAGACAGTTAAAACAAAAACAAACAAAAAAACTATAGATCATTATCTCTCATGATTATAGATGCAAAAATCTTTACCAAAATATTATCAAATAAAATTCAATAATATATAAAAATACGTATAGACTATAACCAATTGGGAATTATTGCTGGGATGCAAAGCTGGTTCTCTATTTGAAAAGCAATCAATATAATCTACCATAGTAAGGCTAAAAAAGAAAAATCACACGATGATATCAATCGACGCAGAAAAATAAGGAAGTCAAGCAAGAGGAGTCAATAAATCTAACGAAAAGAGAGGCAAAGGGAATGATTAAGAAATTTCAGGACTGTAAATTAGGCCTAGCGGGCAACCAACCCAGATTCCATCATGTCAGAAGACAGATTTCTTCAAGATGATAAAATAGAATAAATGTGCTTAAAAGTATTAAAACAATGATTTATATAACTTGAGAAGAGTTTGGGATTAAATTGCTGAAAAGTATGCAGAAAACTAAAACAAACAACCAACCCAAAAAAGCAAAAAACATCAGACAATTATTAATTCCAGTGAAAAGAGAGTTATATAAGAAAGGAATAGTAATCGTAGTCCACTAGGAGACGCAACAAAAATAATGTTTTCTTACATAATAATGTAAAAACTAATACTAACATAACTAAGGTAACTGCCAAACTTACGGCTACTTTGGAAGAATGGGAGATGAGAATAATGCGAGTATTGGGGGAAAAGGACATGCAGGGGATGGAAGAGCTAAATTTTTACTTTCCACAGTACGTAATGCCTAAAATGGAAAACAAAAATCAAGAATTAGCATTATCAACATGTTATTTAGAAATATATCAAATGAATCAACTAAAAGTGGTCGCCTTGGGGCCTTGAAATGACATAAGAGGACCCCTTGGGGAAGTGCATGATGTGATTATAACAAGCTTAGTTCATTTATTTGAGTATTTAAGTTTTGAAAAAATATAAGCTAAATTAAAAACAAAACAAAACCCTCATAGCTAATACATGCCTGGACCCGAACTTGAACCCACGTAATTTAATTTCTAATCAGGTCCATTAATTTTTGAGCTCCTAAGGGGCCTGTGTCTTAGTTCCTCTACTCCAACGCCTGCCTTGCACAAAGTAAGTCCTCAAACATGTTTCTGAATGAGTGGGAGAAAGTTCAAGAGTGGAATTACTTTCCTAGTACCACAAAATGAATGAGAAGGGCATTCCAGGCAGAGGAAATAGCAGAAGCAAAGATAGGAAATGGAGTGTGAAAGATGAGCAAGGGGCAAGGTGAGAAAAAAGAGTAAGAAGCATTCAGAAAATCCATTGAGTGGGTGAAGGGAAACAGGGCGAGCACAGTCATTTAGAGCTGTGTGGGAGGGGAGTGGGATGACACTGGTGCTTTGAGGACAGATCCACGTGGCCCTGACTATGTGTATGAGCCTTAGGGGTTTTTGGTTTGGTTTGCAATGATGACAGCAACACTTATTTCCACCAATAGTTCCTCCCAACTCGTTTCAGCTTTCTCAAATCCAAAGCAGTACAATTCTGAGTTCTTTCAGTAGCTCAACTAGTTACTCTAAGTAGCCACAGAAAGGGCAAACCCACAAGAGGTAGGCAGGGGCAAGCAAAGCCTGGTGGAATCCCTACCATGCCACCTTCACCCACTTTTTCTGCTCTTTACAAAGGAATCATCACCTCTTGCTTGATGAGCACAGGCATCTGCTGTTACCATTATTCACATATTAGTTTCATCCAAAGTTTCTTGTTTATTCTATGTCAAGCAGTGCACTGGAATACAAAGTTTCTGCTTTTAAATAACTTACTTTCTGATAGCAGATCTACTTACAAAATAATAAGAGAAGCAATATAATTGCCATAAAAAAAGCACTGTGGAAACACAATGGATAAAAAGAATATTTAACATTTTTTTATGTATAATGTCAAACAGAGGTGAGAGTAAGGGGCAACTCGAACAAACTCATAGGCATCACTCTGCTTGAATCATCAGTTGTTTCTCCTCTAAATCCACTCATGAACTTCAAGACATCATATTATCTTATAAATAGTTCAGCACATATCTCTAAGAAATAGGGACTCTTTCTTTAAATAGAATAGGAATATGAATCTTGAAAACTGAGTAAGTTCTTAAGGTGAGGTATAATAATTAACATGATAAAATGCACAGATCTTAAGGTGATTAAACAATTCTGACAATTGTGTAGCACTGTGTAACGATTACGCAAAACAGAGAACATTTCTACGGCCCGGAAATTTCCCACATGCCCCTTTCTTTCTAATTTCCCACACCCAAATAACCACTTCTGATTTCTATTACCAAAGACCACTTTTGCCTGTTCTTGGACTCTTATACATGGAATCATAGAGTATACATGAGTAAGAAGTTTCTAGGCCAAAAAAAGGAAAAGCATTTCTGGTGGAAACAAACTACATGTAGAAAATAAAAACGTGTGGAGAAATATGTTCACAGAATGCCCAAGAGCTCAAGAGGGTTGAAAACTGGGACTGGTAGACAAGACTAGAAGAGGCTTCTGGGAAAGCCAGGGTTTCTGGATTAAACTCCATAGTTAATTCTGGGAACCAAGTTGTGAATTAACTATTCCCAATGGCCCAAACTATTTCTTTGACCTAAAGATTGGTCAGTTCTCTCAAGATGCTCCTTTCTCCTCAACCCTCTGGCTGAGGGTGACCAAGGCAGAAGTAGTGTTCACTCCCATCTTGTGCAGAGGCCATCCTGCCATCTCAGAGAAGAGATCAAGCCCCCTTGATTTTCTTAAGAGGGCACAGTCTCTCCCCTGGCCATTTTTTTTTTTTTTAAAGATTTTATTGGGGAATTGGGGGAGGGAAACAGACAAATTGCTGTCCTTTTGTTCTTTATTCTAGTTGTGGAGGACGTCGCCTCACTGGCCCATGTTGGTATTATCACTGTGCTCTTCCCGAGTGAGGCAGTCACTCGCCAGCCATTGGATGGCCGCTCATGCTGGCTGCCGGCCACTCCCGGTAGCTCACGGCAGCCCACTGCAGCCCCACTGCAGCCCATGCTGTCGCTGGTGGCTCACAGCAGCCCAGCTCCGGGTCAAGCTGTTGTTCACCATCTTATCTGTAGAGGGTGCAGCATCACTGGCCCTCAATGTGGGATCTGAACCAGGGCCCTACTACTCAGAGCTGGCGGCCCAAGCCAACTCTTAACTAGCGCGCCACTCGGCCAGCCCTCCCCCGGCCATTTTAAATAAGCAGTCTCAAGTCTGAGGGGCAGCCTTACCATTATCTGGATTTCTCTCTTGCACACCTGGAGATCATGCTCATTGTTAACAAACATGCGTTTCAAGGCACATTTCACTCCATTGCTTGTCCTCACCAGAAACACGATAGCAAATCCACCTGTGAGAGAAACAAACATACAAGCTATTTTGAGTCATCTTCAAAAAGACAGTCGGATGACTATGGCGGCTACGGGTTGCTGTTGTTAGTGTTGATGGCACTAATGCCATCGTCAGCTAGTCCTAGCACTGCTCTGGCTTAGAAGGCATTCTTAGATTCTCGGGACTCAGAGGTGTTACTTGTGTGACTGGGTGGCAAGAATTGGAGAAACTGCTCCTAAACACCTATCTCAGGAAAAAGGAACAATAGTAATTATCTTCTAAAGAACCTACAAATAAACAGAGGAACAAACAGATGAAAGGAAAAACATACTATATTTCAATCACTGTCCTAGGCACTTGGAGTTCTTGTTTAATTCTAACTACCATTCTGTAAGGCTAGGTGTCATTTCTCCCTTTAAGGCAATAATTACTAGCTGAAGCATTCTTTTATTTTTTTAATTTTGTTTTTTATATTAGTTTCAGGTGTACAAAACATGATGATTAGACATTTATACCCCTCACAAAGTGATAACCCCACCGAAGTCTGACATCGTATATAGCTGTAACACCACCATTGACTATATTCCCTATGCTGTACTTTACATCCTATCAACACACACACACACAAAGGGTGTCAAAAAAATGTATACACATTTTAAGAGGAAAAGACTGTATTAAAATTATAATACTCAAAATATGCATATACCAATAACAAAAGATGAATACAAGTCATGTGTATACATTTTTTTGTGCACTACCGGGGTGTGTGTCTGTGTCTGTGTGTGTGTGTGTGTGTGTGTGTGTGTGTGTGTGTGTGTGTGTGTATAAAATTATAATTGACATTCAATATTATTCTACTTCAGTGAAGCATTTTGGGGTTTTTTTCTTTTTTATTGGGGAACAATATGTTTTTTCCAGGACCCATCAGCTCCAAGTCAAGTTGTCCTTCAATCTTGGTTGTGGAGGGCACAAGCTCAGCTCCAAGTCCAGTCGCTGCTTTCAATCTAGTTGCGGGGGAGGGCACAGCCCACCATCCCATGCAGGAATCAAACTGGTAACCTTGTTGTTGAGAGCATGCGCTCTAACCAACTGAGCCATCGGCTGCCCGTCAGTGGCTTGTGGCTGCTCAGCTCAAGGTGCCATGTTCAATCTTAGTTGTGTGGAGGGTGCAGCCCACCATTCCATACTGGAGTCAAACCGGCAACCTTGTTGTTAAGAGCACACACTCTAACCAACTGAGCCACCCAGCTAGCCCCTGAAGCATTCTTAAATGCTTTAAATTTGTTACACCTTAGCATTGCCCAAATCCTTAGAACGCCTAACCTTGACCTCACTCCCTAAACATTGCATGAGGTGTTTGGTGAGACTGTTAATAGGGGTTACAGATATATGTAAAGTTCTGCAAAGCTGTCAAAGTTGAAGGTTTGGGGATAAGCACCCGTTATACTACTGGATATTTAGTTCATTTGCCTGCTCATATATCTTCGTAATTTAGCTTGAATTATCCTGTGCATTGACCCTGCATAGCAAAAAAAAAAGTTCTGGGTTATTCTTTGCACAAAGGTGATCACCAACTGGACGAAAGTGAACACAGAGGGAAGTCATCAGTACAGGAACTTGAGTTGAGGTTATGGCATAGTGGGGCTAGCAGCCACATGCAAAATTGATATAGAGCAGTAAGCAGTGAACACAGAGACCTCAGGCCTGAGATGTGACTTGGGTCCTGATGGCCCCTCTAGTTCCTCTGAGGCCCAGCGGCACGTCAGTACCTGTCTGTTGATGTTCCTGGCATTTCCTGTTGCATCTTTACAATAGTTATTCCTTTTCAAGGTAAAAGTAAGGTTCTGTTCCTTACAACCAAAGAGAGCTTTAATCATAAAGCACTGTTGCATGTTTTTATAAAATACACACATAATTCTGTATTAAAAAAATTTTAATGGACTCAAATGTTCCAGTGTATATTTTGATAATGATTTACCGGAAACTGCATGTTTATATATTTCCTATCACTATGTTGTTCTTCAGTATTCAGATAAACACTAAAATTTACCATATAATCTTTAATTTCAACTGTCATCTCTCTAATCTTTGTACCTCAATAACATTTTCCATTTTCTTGTAATACTTTAAAGTATACTTACTCTGCTCAATTGTCCATTGTAATTCTAGAATTTTGAGTATTTAAGCAAAAAAAAATTTTTTAAATCCTAGCATGCATTCACAAATAGAGGTCTTATTACAAAAAAATAAAAATAAAAAAATAAAAAAACTGAATTCCAAGATGCACATTTTTTACATTTTAATTTTTTGAATATCTAAAATTTTCTTGTAATATATACATTTAATGAAGTACTATTTGTCTTCCTTTTTTCCCCAAAAAGCTATTAAATTCATGATGTGCCCTATAATCAAGTAGAGCTGGGGAAAATGGCAGCATAAAATATTATAAAATTTCTATGTATGTTCGTAACTGTTCTGCAAACAGTACAAGAGGGTATTCATTTTATAGTTATTTTGAATTTCAAAAATCACAGAACTACAGACTTTGTACCAATAGTGCTTCTAAAGAGCATTAAGTCCAAGCATTTTGCTTTATGGGTGGAGGAACCTCGTGAGGCTTAAGAGTCCCATGGCTAGTTATGAGCATAACCTGGAACAGTGTCACTCTCCTGATTGTCCAAAAAAATGTTCTTTCCACTTCATTTATTTTAGAGAAAACTATGCAATACCCCCTGACAATGCTGACAATGCTGCAGAACAAAGCTGGGAGAACAAAAGTTGGGAAAGGCTATTTTCTACAGCTCTGTGATTCATGGCACCACTGAAGGACAAGGCTGTGCTTTCAGAAGCAGGTTGATGATGCAACAATTTGAGATAACTGCCACCAGATGGGAGCAGTGTAATTTTCTATAGGTAGCAAGATGACCCTCTGAGTCAGAACTGAAGAAATGATGTCTACCTACCACACGAACTAGGTAAGCACAACTGGTTGAGAACAGCCAGCCCGGATTTTCAAAGTCTATGACCATCATAAATCTTAAGACAAATCAATGAATCATTATGCTTAACGTAGACAGAAACATGTTATTAAGCATCTATGCCCATATAAGGGCTTATTTGCAGGTGAAGAGCATTTAAATCAGTGTTTCTTGACCATGAGATCAAAATTGAAGCCTGATAGGATTTGTCAATTTAAAAATGTTGGCCATTATCACTATGGAGTTGACCAAATGGGAGATGCAAATTACTAGGTTAGAAGGTAGAGGGGAGATAGCACCACTCAAGATCCTTCTCCAGCACACGTTCACCACATGGATCAGGGTAAAAGAATTCTCAGCCAGAGCTAAACAGGGTCCAAGATATTACAGAAGAAGGCAGCTGTAAGACTGTCAAAAGAGATGCTCATTTCAGATTGAGCTGCATCCCAAAATCTTGATTAAATGTAAAAATCTAAAGCTGAGTTGGGGATGGTTTGGACACAGGTAAGAAAAACTAACATTCTGTAGACCTTTGCCAGTCTCTCTGCCTACTGTCATTTTTGAAATGCCAAGCTAATCTCCATGATTTTACTGGAATGCACTTTTTTGGACAATCCATGAGTTTACTGAATCACAAAAAGAAAAGGAGCTGATCCATAATGTGAGGTAAGCAAGTGAAATAAGCAAGGTAACTGTTGGCCTATTAAATACGTAGGATTTTTTTTTCACTTCCACAAAGGAACATGTTTTCTCCCACTTTCCCTCAAGTACGCATACAGCACTCTTGGTCTAACTTTCTCCTCCTAATTTTTGATGATGTGGATGGGTACTTGCCACTCACTAGAGTTTAGAGATTTTGTCTGTTTGGTTCCTCTCTGTATAAGCCATGCCCTAGAGTAGTGCCTAACATATCAAGGGCACTCGAACATGAATTAACTTTCCTCTTAATGTTACTACAGAGAATAGAAAAGGCTACGGAGAGTGGTGAAGACTGTGGGAACTAAAGCATGTCACCCACGTAAAGGAACAGTGACCACACAACTCCAGATAATTGTTGTTTTGTAGGAATAGGAGCCCAGTTTTGTCAGATCTGCTCATTTCTAAAGATAAACTGGAAACCCAAAACTTTATGTGAAATCTCCAGATTTGAACACTGGCAACCAGTCACATTTTTAAGCTTACACTGGACAGATGGACACTGGTGAGGCTAAAGAAAAAACATGCCTGAGAGGCTTTAGAGAGTCTCTGAGCCTATAGTTTTCTACCTCTGATCTAGTCTAACTCTGTCATTTTACTGATGGCCAGAGAGGGGAAGCGACACAGCCAGTGTTACGCAAAGTTAAAAGATGACTTGCAAATAAAATTACATATACAGAAGGGTCCCCAAAAAATGTATACACACTTTAAGAAAGGAAAACTGTATGAAAATTGTAATACTCAATATGTACCAATAATGAAAGATGCATACAGGTCACGTTTGAGTTCCACAATTATAAGAGGTACTCAAAGTGGTTACCATCAGCATCCAGACACTTCTGATTACAGCGAACTACTGCTTGAGCAACGCTGACCAGTGTCCATGTGTTTACATTTTTGGGGCACTGCCAGTATATACAGTATATATAAGCTCATACATTAGTTATCACAGTTTTTGCCTTTCTTCACTGAAGAGGAGTTTATGGAATATTCACCTCCCACCCCCAACCAGCATGTGTACATGACTTTATACCTTTTTAAAGGCATTTCAAAATAAATTATTTCATTTACAGTTTCACAATAACTGAATGAAGCAGGTGAGCTACCTACTGTCCCCATTTTCCCAATAGGAAAGAGCTGTAAAGAGATTAAGGTCCTTTCACAAGAACACATAGAGCTAGTTAGTGGTAGGGCTCAGACCAGGTCCCTCATCTTTTTGGGGGGTTGTCCATGGTTTATTGAAACTATGACAGCACAGCAGGAAGATTCAAATGGCTCCACAGGGTGTTTCGAAATCCATCCCAACTGTAAGCTGAGTGACGTGCAGGCTGGACAGACTGCCGAA